GCCTGCCGGAAAGCCGTTAAAATCTGGCTGTGCCGGCAGGCCTGGGGTTGATGAGTTCCCCTCCCCTCTCGACCTGTGTGGCTGTATGATTCTTGTTTATTTTAATCACGTGTATTGTGTTCTATGTTCCCCTTTCCCCGTTTTGAGTTGTTCACCGCCCTGAGTCCCTCCCGGAGAAGGGCGGCATACAAATAAACTAAATCTAAATCTAAATCTAAATCTGAATTTAACTGGCACAAAAAGATTTCTACCGAGGCATTCAGTCTGAGTTGCAAAGGAGTTCATCTATTCTCTCACCTCAAAACAAGATAACCAGCAATAACAGCATTTGTTCAGGCTGCATTTGCTATTCTAAGAAAATAGTTGGAGAGCCAATATGGTATAGAGCAGCTGTCCCCAATCTTTGCATCTTAGCAATCTGGCTAGAGGTGGGAAGGGCCACATGAGTAGCGGGCCAATGCACACACGCTCTCAGCTCAACTCACTCAAGTGATGGGTGGCATGCACACGCAGTTCAGGTGCAAGTTGAGCTGTGTGTATCTGCATGCTGGCCCACCACTTACTATATACTATGCAAAAGAGACAATCAACAAGCCAAAAAGAAACAAAAAGCCCAAAACACTTCACCACTAGTAATCAGCATTCAGATGAGCATAAATTAACTCCATCAGACCAACAATCAAGTAAAGAAAACCCCAATCAAGGAACTGCCAAACAAACCAACAGTAAACAGCGCAACCAAACAACTTCTAACATCGCCCCTACCAACACTGACAGGGCAAGCCACTCAAATATAAACTGATAGCAAATCCCACCCCTTACTAGTACTAATGATGTTACCTAGTTTGGATAATGAAACATCTGCAAGAAAACAGCAAAGCTCATAGAGCATTAAAAACCTCTCATTTCAACCCCAAGCTACAAATATTTCCTTTATTTTTCAATACACTAGCATTGGTTCTTCTATCTCTCCGCCTTGTTAAGTTCAATTTCTTATCCAGGATTGTTCCTACGAACCACTGCTAAATCCTAAAACCTGGTGCCAACCACTTAATCTCCCAGTCATATGTCATTGAAAGAACACATGCTCTGCATGTGAAAGGCCCTTGGTCTCAATCTACACATTCCATGCTATATTTCAAAATGCATTTGGAGAGAGTAGAAATTCAGCACAGGCAAGGTTGGGTCTTAAATGAAATTAAGTCAGTGTGCCTTACTATGAACAACTTTGTTGTGGGAATAATGCTCAGAGAAGAGGTGGCACATCTTTTATTTTTCAAGTGTTGCTGAACTGCAGCTCTCAACATCCCACACAATGACAACACTTGGCCAGAATTGCTGGGACTTGTAGTTCAACATCTGGAACATCTTGTTTACATCAAGCAAGACAGCCTTTCCTGTCTGCTTCCAAACAAAAGAATGTCTACCCCGGAGATAGCACTAGCTACCCTATTATCTTCTCATCACACCGGCTTCAAAGACCTCAGACTACAAAGCTAGAAATGTCCTCTGTTGAGGGTCACACTGATGCACTTCACAAAAATGTATCAAAACATATTTAAAACAAACATTTTGGAGAGATAAATTGAATGGTATCTCAAGAGAAAGCACACTTGAAAATGAATTCTAAAAGCATTTTGGGGGTTGATTTTTAAAACATCACAGAATAAGGAGGAAGCAACTCAGAACACAAAATGACCCAGTTCAGAAACAGAGACTGGTATTTTTCGCTCTAAAACTAGAGCTTCTTCAGTTATAAGATTTTATCTTCAAAACTTAATTTTAAAAAAATGTTTCCATAAGTGCAAATATAGGGAAATATTAGAAGTTACATTAGAATTAGACATCCATGTATAAGGGGAAAGGTGGAAAATTAACAGCTTGTGGACCACACAGAGACCCCCAGCATTTATTTATCCATTTCATATGGATCCATCTCAGTGGTGGGATTCAAACTTTTTTACTACCGGTTCTGTGGGCATGGCTTGGTGGGTGTGGCTTGGTGGGCATGGCAGGGGAAGGATACTGCAAAATCCCCATTCCCTCCTGATCAGCTGGGAATCGGGAGGCAGAGAATAGATGGTGGTGGGGCCAGTCAGAGGTGGTATTTACCGGTTCTCCAAAGTACTCCAAATTTCAACTACTGGTTCTCTAGAACTGGTCAGAACCTGCTGAATACCACCTCTGATCCATCTCAATTAGTGGCAGTGAATAGAATTCAAACAAAATAAAAACTAACAAATACAATAGTTTAAAATACAGTCAGCCGAGAAACAAACAAAATTAAGAAGCAAGTACTTAATACTGAAACCCTCCAAAACATTATCACGTTGCGCTATTAAAATTTGGCAAACCGCCCCTCTCCACACATGTGGACTCTTACAGACTTCAGCAACTGGAATTGGAGAAAACAATGGTAGTTATCATAATAGCTGCCCCACGTTCTTCCAAACCATTTTTATGTACTTAGAAATATCCCCAAGGAATCTGAGGTCCTCCTGATCAAATTTCCCTCAATTTCTTTTGTCATCATTAATCTCTTGAAAAAAAGAAAACCTTAAGAGGGCTTCTTCCCCTGTTGATCTCGATGGATGGGAGTGAGAGCGATTTCCCAATCCCATTATTATTGGATTTCTGCGACTTACCTGTTGTGTTGGTCAGCTCGAAGGTGACTGTCTTATCAGGGATGCCACACACATTTCTCACAGATACCTGACATGTATAACTGGCATAGTCATGGGGTCGTAGATTTTTCAGTTTCAGAACTTTTGTTTCTCCCTAGAGTGTTTGAAAAGAAACAAACGAAGTTATCTCTTGAATATATAATTTCTCATAGTAGTCATGAATTATTTTCTTTTTATCATCATTCCAATAGTAGAATGTTCCTTCCTCATCTGTTAGTTGATAAATCAGTTTCTTTTCTTTCACCTTTTTTAGTGTATATGCCAGCCATCTTTCTGGTTTATTTGCATTTTCAAAAAAGTTTTGTTTCGAACTTCTAATTTCTTGGGCTAGGTCTTCTTTGTCTACTGAATTCAATTCATGTTTTTTTTAAGTCCGTTTGATTTTTTAATATTCTTTTTTTGTGGCTCTTTTTGTAGTTCCATCTCTAACCTCCTATACTCCTCTTCTATCTTCTTTCGCACTTGACTCCTTTGTTTATTTCTCTTTCCCTTGCCCCCAACAATCTGGGTCCTCATTTTGCCAAATTCAGAAGGAAGGAAGACTGAGTCAATCTTGAGCCCTGTCAGGATCAAACTCCTGGCTATGGGCAGAGTTAGCCTGCAATACTGCATTCTAACTACTGTGCCACCACTGTTCCTTAACTTTTTAAAAAATGAAAATTACTATCATGCAAAGCACAGCACTGGCAACCAATATCACCTTTATTTACAACAATGTTTCTCGACCTCATATAGATCTAACAGATATTCTTAGAAAATAAATACATGGAATGGCTTTATTAGGAAGTTGGAGAAAAAAGGCCAAAATGAGGCTCCTAGAGGACAGTCCCATAAGAGGTTATTTTTCGATCAGTTTGTAATTGGCCATGCCCCCATTGCCACCGCTTTGTGAATATGTAAGCTGCCTCTAGCATTGATTGCTGCCCATGTGATGGTCTCGGGATTCTCAACATGCTCAACTAATCCTGCTATAATGGAAGCAAGAATAATAGGAATTAAGCATTGCTAAAGCATCTAGCAACAGGAATGAAGTGCTGTTTGCCACATCTCTCTAACCATGCATCTCCTTTTCAGCTTACTTTCAATTCAATATCTGAGAAGGGTGATGGTGGTGTAAGTTTTGGGGCAACAATATCTTGTTTTGAGGTATTTTTGCAATAAAGTAATACAAGGGTAATTTTATTTGAATGAACAGTGAAGTTCATTATCCTTGAAAAGTCTAGGTCATGGTGGAGATGAAAAAAAAAATCACCATGTTGTTGGCAAGAATTTACTCCATTGCTGTCATTATAGGGGAATCATGCTAATCTATGGGAGAAAATATCAGAAAGTGGTAGTAGTAGTAGTGAATATGATCATCCATTGCATTTTCATCCTCTGGATCTATGGAAATGAATATAAAAGTAATGATGGAGTTGTATAGATATTCATTTCCATAGATCCAATAACTCCCCTTGCCCCATCATCAACCTTGGATTAGAGCTCTAGAGAATATATCCACTATATATCCAATATATATAAAGACATTATAGGTAATCCTTGACTATGACTGGTCACTTAATCACTGTTCAAATTATGAGACCCCCCAAAGCGATTTAGGACCTATTGATTGATATTACAACGGCTGATTCTCTACATTCACATGATTCTATTTTGGGACCTTGGCAACTGGCTTACCTTGACAACAGTTTGCAGTGTCCCACAGTCATATGACCACAATTTGTGATGATTTTTTTTTGCTGGTTTCTGTCATCTATTTCTATTTTTTTAAAGCAAAAAACATACTTTGGAGAAAACTGATTTGCTTAACTGCCACTATCAAAAATTGGATCTGGTCGTATGATACCTCAACTTACAACCACAATGAATTACAACTGTAATTGCAGGCTCAGTTACAGTCATAAGTCAAGGACTACCTATATATAAAACAACCTACAGATCACCATGCACACCAAGTCTATCATTTATAGCCAAGCTCTACGTTACAACTACATTTGCTTTGACTCACTTGATAGGGCTGCTCAACTGATGGAATTAAACCATTTAGGGGGCTGCATTACCACCCACAAAGATCAATAGACAAGTTAATAGAGTCAGATCAATATCCAGGGAGGACCCACTATAAAACCAGCTATAGAAACAGAACAAGAGAACAATAGTGGGTTGTCAATCAATTTCGTTTTATTTAAGTACAATGACAATAAAGATTATACTTGTCACCCACAACCCATAACTCAAACTACTCAACACATGATTTATAAACTACAACCAAACTGAACCATGATACTGTGCTTTCTTAGGCACCAGATGAGAGGTCCATACTTTCATACAGACAACTACTCAATCTGAAGTGAATTCTCCCAAGCAATATTGGTCCTTCTATAGGATCCAGGCCCTGCAACCAGCCCAGATATCTACTTTGCCCTCTACATCTACATTAACAGTACCATCACAAGCCCCAACAAGTGCACACATCAGATTAAAGGCATCTTCACATGCTCTTCCTCTTGTGTGATATATGCCATCACCTGTCAGCAATGTCCCTCTGGATTCCATGGACAAACTTTACACAAAAAAAATTAATGAACACAAGTTTGACATCAGAACTCAAAACAAGGACAAAGTAATAACAGCATTTCAACCTGCCAGGATACACTCTATGGCAGACCTCAAATGTCTATTTTGGAAAAATTGGACTTCCACAACACCCTTGAGCGAGAGATTGCAGACTTCATATATATTAAAGGTTTCAGGCAATCTGATAAGGTCTCGACTAACACAATGGCTCTTGAACACATCATAATTGTTAATTTATAATATCTGTCAGACATTAATCTACATTTGCAGAGGCAACTTGCCGCCCACCCTTTCTTCCCCCTTACTCCAGTTGAAATCCTATATATATATTTTAGCTCCTCTATAACATTTGATGAAGTTTATGAAAACTTATACCTTTTAATAAAATGTATTAGAAAAACTGATACCAGACTCCTGTTTTTTCCCCATTATCCTTAGGGTTCCTAAAAACAATATTTTGTTGTAATACCTTCCTGGCTTGAGAAATGAAATTGATGGGCCAATAGCAATCATCATGTTTTCAAAGTAAACTCTTGTATTTTTGTTCTGGTCCCAAACATTTTTTTCTTTTGGTGGTGGTGGGAGTATGCTTTCACATTGATGATAAAACAAAAACTGCTCTGCTAGTTCCTTTTAGAGAAATATGCATTCCAACTGGCTCCCTTTGAGTTTTACTTTACAAATTCCTTTGCTTGGTGCAAATTTTGATTTCTTCCTTGAAATCAGAACAATAAAAGTTACTTTTTAAGATCCACTGACATAATTTCTGTGAGAACTATTGTAAATCAAGAGACTGGTGTTCTCAGGCCAGGTTTGGAAATTATGTAAAACATGATGTAATTTAAGTAAAAACCAAACAATTGCTCAGCTTCTGGACCACCAAGTCTCATGCAAAGAGTTTATTAAATTTCAGGAAGGACAGGAAGAAAGAGGTATGGATCTGAACCATCATGTATATAAAAGGTACCTACAGCCTTACATTGCCATTGGGCATTCAACTGTTCTGTTGGGTTTCATTCTTACTTGCAGTAAAGATTCTTATTTAGCTAAAGTGTTTCTGAGAGACTTTTGCCAAATCCAAGCCTAGAAAATTAATTCAGCTATATAAAGGATTTACTGTTAGGTCCTAGTCAGGAGAGTCTGACATTTTCTCTCTCCCCTCACCCCCAATTGTATCTTCTGTTTTGCCTTGAGCTTTTGTGAAATCCCTTTTGATTTATAACATAATTCACTAACACAGTCTATTTTATGCCTTCACTCTTCTGATTTTTCCAGAATAGGTAAAGGTTCCCCTCGCACATATGTGCTAGTTGTTCCCGACTCCAGGGTGCAGTACTCATCTGTTTCAAAGCCAAAGAGCCAGCACTATCTGAAGACGTCTCCGTGGTCATGTAGCCGGGATGACTAAACACTGAAGGCGCATGGAATGCTGTTACCTTCCCACCAAAGGTGGCTCCTATTTTTCTACTTGCATTTTTTGCTTGCTTTCAAACTGATAGGTTGGCAGAGGCTGGGACAAGTAATGGGAGCTCACTCCGTTACACAGTGCTAGGGATTTGAACTGCTGAACCTTCTGATTGACAAGCTCAGTGCCACTGAACCACTGCGCTGCCAGAATACCTTTATATTAAACTAGTGCAGCCCACCCTTAGTAATCTGAACATTACCATCTCATATACCTTTCCCTTTTGATCTCCAAATTATTAATGCATGGCTTTTCCTTTAGAAAATTTGACCCAAAATCAAGTACAGGTTTTTTTTCCTTCTCTCTCTCTTTTTTTGCCAATTGAGAAAACATTACTTTTTGAAGCCGTAATTTCTGCTACAAGGCTAAAGTAGAACTTGATTCTCTCATTCATCTATTCTATCTATCTCATTCATCTCAGATGAAGCTATTTGTGGACAGATGGGTTTCAGAAAACTGCAAGGCCAGGAAAAAACCCCCCAGCTAAACTGACTTGTTTTTTTTAATAAAAAAAATAGCAAGAAGAGGCCCCAAAATTAACCTGAGAGCAAATATATAGAAGTCAGACTTTGATGATTCAAGGTAGCATTTCTCTTGGAGAACTTGATGTTTAGAGTTTTCTAATTGACTATATACAAAATAAATACAGGACCAAGAAATTCCAGTTAGCCTATGCTTAAGATCAGAAATGATTTAAACTGTTAAAAGTTAGTTCAGTAAGAAGAAGCTAAGGTCAATGTAGAATGTCATTAATTTCTTTATTTCTTTTTTCTCAATAGATTTTAGACTGTGTTAGTTAAAAATCCATACCGTGTACGGGTTCTGGGAAGTCGGGGGGGGGAGGAGGAGGGGGATTGGGGGTGGAGGGAGGGAGGGGCACACAAAAAAATTGTACTTCAATGTCTTAATGATTGACAAATGATGAAATATTTGTGGTTTTTTTTTAAAGAAATAATAAATATGTTAAGTCAGAAAGACATAATATATTGTCAACGGTAAGGGGGGGGGGAGCAGAAGAATAAAAACCATTTTTCTATAGAGTTTTCTAATTT